ATAAATAAACAAATTGAGCATTCACAGCACATACAATCGCTCACAAGTTCTTATTGTACAAGTTTCGTTGCTTCAAACTGCTTCATTGCTTTTGAAAGTGTTAAGCAGTTGACATTTAACAGCCACAAAACGATACAGCGCCTCTCAAACGGCCAATGCACAGCACTGCCATCAAGCAAAACTGGTAAACACTGCATTGAGCACGCATAGCGCTGCTATAGCAACAGACTCGGAAAACAGAATGTGGCAATGCTGTCGAAACGAAGACAATAAACATGACAAAAAGAAACGAGTATTTAATTTAAAATGCCAATACAAGCAAATGGGCGAGTACAAATTAGTAAAGTGAGAAAATTATATGCAAGCGTGAACGAAAATATGTACATATGTATGTAGCTGTTATACGCTAAAACGTGTTAACGATTTAACGACGTGAAATTATCGAATGTATTATCATAAAGTATTAAAATATCACTGACAAACACACAAACACACGCACTTCCGTGCAGACCTGTGATAATCGAAGCAACCCGGCGTTGTTTTTGACAACTGTCATTCTGCAGCTACTGTCAGCTGACACAACATTTGTTATTGTGGTTACTTGTTGAAGTTTTCATGTTGTACTGTGTCTGCGCTGTGAACATCGATAAAAAAAGTAGTGAAAATCATTTGCAGGTTGTTAATTGGACATATGTGCTTGTGTGTGGGTGCGTGTGTGTGACTGAAACGCCGGTCTTTAGTGCAGAAACTATTGTATTTGTTACTACGAAACTTAGCGTAAATTTATCGGTGTTTCTGATCCAATTTAAGTTCAGCCAGCGCTGCGCCTTGCAATGAATAACTCAATAAACCAAAGCAATATTCGCTTGTGTCGCGCCGTAGAGCAACATCCATGTCTTTATGATCGTTCACATGCGAGTTATGATAAACTTGATGCTTTTGAGCGCGCCTGGCGAGATATTGCTACAGCGTGTGGAGAGCTAGGTAAGTGTTAAGGAAATGAAGAAGAGTATGCAACAAGCGCATGCACTGAATCAAGGCTTTGAATATACTCTTACATATAAACATAAATATAGCGTTGCCAGATAAATGTAAAATATATAAAATGCCATAAGTTTAAGCATGATGCAAAAAAAAAAAAAACAAGGGAGTTTCAAACAAAATTTTTTTCAAAAATATTAACCATCTGGCAAAAAAAAAGATTTTCTGACTTTTCCGTTATTTTGTGCTACCAATTTGTTTTTTTAATAAATTTTGAAATTAAAAAAATATATATTTTCAAAGATGCGAAACCTTACAATATAAAAAAAAAAATTAAAAAAAAAAAAAATGAACCCACATAAAACTCATTGCAAAAAAAACATTGTATTTTCAGAAAACTTAAAATTTTTTTTTATAAAAAAATATATTAAATATTTTTAAAGTGGCAATATTTTGAAGGTAAAATAAAAATAAGACATAATGTCAAAATAATTTTTCCTGTCAATTTTGTATTAAGTGTAACTAACTTCCTTTTTTTGCATCATAAGTTAAAGTAGAATTTTTCAGAGTTTGTGGTTGTCCGGCAAGGGTTTCTAACCATTGCAAGAGGCCCACTAAATAAAATACATATATAATAGCTGTAATTTAGTATTTTATTTAAGTAGTCTTCAATATACCATTCATTCATTGTTGTTTTCAAAATAATAAATATTTTTTAGTTAAAAAAAAATGCTGTGACGTCTGAAAATAATATTTTTTCAATTCTTTTTAAAAATACCCAAAACAAGAATTTTTAGTGATTATATTTTTTTAAGGCCAGATTCCTTCGAAAACCGTGTTTTTTTTCAAAAAATAAAATTATTTATAAATCAAATTTTTAAAAATATTAATTGAAGTATTTTTTTTTTAAATGGCGGCTATTAAAATTGCTGCTGAAAAACATAACTTTATTGGTGAGTGACACGATAACTGTAAAACGAATAATTTGGAAGCAAAAATCATAACGGTCTCTTTTTTGGATCACATTGCCAATGACCGGAAGTCAATACAAAACTCCAAACAAAAAAAAAAAATGGGGTACCTTTTAATATTAAAAATTTTTTTTTCCATTTTTAATTGTTTACAAATTTTTGGTTGTAGAGAAGTATACATTTTAGGAGTAAAATTCCGTGTAGTTCATGTTGCTAAGTTCAATGGGTTCATAAAATTAGAGTGTCCCACCAAGTTGAAAAAACGTGGTTTCGAGAAAAGGCGATAAAATTACTCGAACGGCAGGTTTTGTCGCTTGGTGCGTTCCACTTTTGCCTCTTCTATACTTACTTATTGATCTTGCGGACCTTCAGGACTAATTCTATATTATTTCTAAGAGTGCGTTACAGCAATTTACAGGAAAAACTTTCAAGGAACCTGGTCTTAATTGTTTTCTTTTTTATTATTTATTTATTTTGTATAATTGTATTGGGTGTACAAAATAATTCGGTGCGTTTTTGGTATTCACAAAGCGTTTTTTATTGAAAAAAAAAAAAAATAATAGTAATAAATAAATACTTCGTTTAAACTAATGTCCGTTGGAAGCGTCTACTTTTTTCCCATCCTCTCCGCCGTCGTTTCGATCATTTAAGCCTTTCTTCGTTTTTTTTTTTTTAATTTCGTATCGCTGAGCCTCTAAATCGTTTTGCAGCAGTTGAAAATGGCAGTAGTCAAAAGGAACAAGATCTGGAATATATGGCGGATAGGTAAAATCTTCCATTTCAGCCTTTCTAGATAGTTTTTGAGCCTTAGAGTCAGGCTGCGCCGAGCGTTGTCATGTTGCAAATTTATTTCGTTTTGATTTCGTTTATTTCTGGCCATTTTTCATGCAGAACACTGTATTAGTTTTAGGTAATATTACTTCCCGGTAAGAAGAGTAGTCTTTCTGTTAATCTATGCAAAGAGCCATCCAAAAATTCTCCCGATAAGAGGTATTATTTTGCATAGCCTGAAATTCCGGTAGATGTCGCTTTTGCAGCTGGAACATTTTGACATTTGACAAGTAAAAACCAGAGAACGTCAAATAACAAGACGAACCGATTACGGACAGCATGTGAATTGCCACAATCGATGGAAAAAATAAGAGACTATTTCACCACTGCCGCCAGGAATTGACTCTGTTTGTCGACATATCTGAGCAAGATAATAATACAAAAATTTGATTAAAATTATTTAATCAAAATTAATTAAATTAATAAAAATAAATTTCTCCCAAGTATCATACTTCCGTAAAGAATTTGTCAGTCTCTGATAGTTCGCTGTTAACTTGCGGTGAAATAGTCTCCTTCTAATATCGTATAGAGGTGAAATCGTCTCTTAGCAGTCCCGTAGGCGGAACAAATGGCAATCGGCACGTCCGGGTCCTTCTCTTTAATATACGTTCTTTGGTGAAAACTGCGTCAGTAATAAAAACGGAACGATATACGCTTCAACAATGCATTGAAATTCTTAAAACTGACCATAAAAATGGTGAAAACCTGACAGAGCCGGTACGTAAAATCAAAATATTTTTTGGTCGTCGTGAAGGACTTTGTCAGACCGCACTATATAGAAATTAATGGAAAAAATGGAGCTGTTGGAAGAAGTTACTGAAGCGAAGAACTGAAAATATTGCTGCCCAAATAGTTGATGAAAACCCAGATTATTCCATTTCTCGGCCTTCCTTGGAATTCGACACGCCACAAACGTCATATACATCGTATTTTATATAAAGTCTTGGGTTTAAGGCTTATAAAGTTCCGTTAACACAAGAACTCAAGCCGACGGATCATCAGAAAATGCATATCCTTGCTGTTTGGGTCCTTGAAATGCATGAAAATGATACGGAGTTTCAACGAAAAATCATCTTGACTTATGAGACCCATTTCCACTTCGATGGCTACGTCAATAAGCAAAACAGTCGCAGCTGGGGCTCGGTAAACCAAATATTTATTGTTGAAAAACCTGTCACAACCTCAACCTGCAGCTGATTGGTGCAGTTTATGGTCTTCCTTTTTCGAAAATGACGCTGGAGCAATAGTTACGGTGCATGGATTGCGTTATCGAGAGATGATTAATTATTTTTTATGGTCGGTATACAACTTTTACTCTCAAAAAAGACTGCTCCACGTGCCACACAAGCAACCAAACCATCGTTCCATTAAGGAAAAAGTTTGCGGAGCGTGTTATTTCACAAAGAGGTGATCGCAATTGGCCACCGAGATCTTGTGATTTAATACACTGAGACTTCTTACTTGGCGCCGCGTGAAAAATAAGTTTTACACTAACAAGCCAACACCGGTTCGAGATCTCAAAGATGGAATTCGTGAAACTATAGAGAGCAGACAGCAGCCACTTGGTGATTTGGTGATGGTGAAATTCATTAAAGGCGGCCATTTGGATGATATTTTTTCCATTATTAATGGCATATTTTTCGCTTTACATTAAAATATGTAAACAACCGATCAAAAAATGAATTTTTTTTAATATCAAAATAACACTTCTTCTGAGAAAATCCTGTATTTACTAAATCGCAAGTTAATCGCAACGAAAATAAATAAATTTGTACAGCTCGGCGCTTGGTACAGTTCCCCAAAAAGTTTCAATCCTACAGACCTTTCCAGGAAAAATGGAAACAATCTGACAAAACTTCAAGTCAAGTCAATCGGTTGGTAAATTTTCGAACGTAAGATTTATATATCTAGATATCGTGTTTGATCTCTTCAAAGTAGTTCCCCTCAACCGCAATAAATTTAAGCCAACATAAGTTTTCTATCCTCGAAGCAGATACTGCCGAAATAAGAATTATAAACAAATTGTTCTGTTGGCTACAGAGTAAATTGGTGACCCACCAACTAATTCTTCATTGTCTAGCTTTCTTTCTGCAACGTCTCCTTAGATCCTATATTTTTTCGCTTTCCCCATTGCATTCTCTCCACTAATTCGATTATAATTAAAATTAATACTTTTTCTATGAAAACATATCCTTTTTCCGTTCACTCTCTTTACAGTTCCAACCTGCAAATTGCGTTGGCGCAATATACGCACGGCCTTCACGCGTTTGGTAGTCGCTTCGCCGAAGAAGCGCAAAGGTAATCGTACCCGAGATTATCATCTACAGGAGGCGCTACAATTCTACGTACCACACATACAAACCGGCATAGATGAAACGTCACTGCTTGAAAGCGATGATGAGACGGATAGTGTAAAATCAAGGAAATCAACAACATCAACAACTAAACAAAACAAGGCACAGAAAGATGAAGAGAACGAAGATAATGCTGAAGTAGTAGACGAAAGCGCATTAAAAACAAATAGCGAATTGCTGAAACAACAACTAATTAAACGTGAAAATACAAAGAGTTGTAATAAAGATAATTTGGGAGAGTCGAAGGACAATATTGCGAATGTTTTAAAGGCTACAGAGGACAAGCATAATGTAGGCGAGACGAAGGGAGGTCCGAAAGACAATGTGGAGGGCGCAAAGAGAGTTCAAAAGGACGAGGACACAAAGAGAGTTCAACAAGATAAAGTAGTGGACACAAAGAAAGTTCAAAAATCGCATGTGGAAGACACAAAAAGTGACAAAGAAGAAGTAGTGAGCGAAGTAAGTAAAGAACAAATCAATAAGAATATTAAAAATGAGGAAAATATGCTCGAAACAATCAAGAGAATGCCCGGACGACCCAGAAGAGGTAGAAAAACAAACGAAGATATTCAATTAGAAGACAATACCGGTAAATCCGTTGAAAGTCGGCCCACCAGAAAAACACAATCAATGTCGAAAAATGATATAAATGAAGATAGTGACGACGCCGCTAACAGTCTGGCGGAAAGGCCAGAAAAGACCAAGTCTTCGAACAAAATATCGTATTCAGCAAAGGGTAAAGGCACCTTTTATATAACCCCCAAGAATAGCGGTACAAAATTTGTTATTAAGAAGAATAACGATAGCAATGATAATAACAAAACCGCCGATGCGTCCGAAAATGATATGGAAGAAGATGTGAGCATACGCGAGTTGGCGCTTGTAAACAAGTCCAAGCACAACAAAACTAATGAAATCGACAATGTCGACGCGAGTAGTGACGACATGCCTCTAGTGTCGCAGTCTCGTTTTAGGCGCGCTTCCAAACGTAGTTTAGACAAACCAACGCCAGCTCAGCTGCGCGTGCGCCAGAAGGAGTCGAAAACGAAAGAATTGAAACACAGTACGGAACGTTTGAAAACACTAGGTAAAGCTGCGGCACAGCTAGTTGAGTCACCTAAGAAACAACCAAAGCCGGAAACGAGCGTAGAGCCAAATGAAAATCCAGCAACTGGTATTAATTCAAAGACTCGTATACTTTGTCGCGCTGTAGTAGTCGACCCTAGTGTAATATCATTATCAGACACAACAACCCAAGACGTACACACCAAAACACCACCAACCACCGCCGAACAACCGAAAGTGTCTACAAATGAGTGTCAGCCTCAGTGTTCGCCAAAGTCAAAAAGAAAGTTGGAGCTGCAAAACGTTGAGACGACAACACTCGCACGCATACATCAAGGCGTCCAGTGCAGTCTGCAGCCAACTTCAAGCGATGATGAGTTTCTCAAAACTCTGAAACCCTATTTGCATGATATGAACGCGCGCCAAAAGTTGCACTTCAAAAAGAAGATTTTCGAATCGTTGATGGAAGTTTTCGATAGCGGCAGCGACTTTCCCACACACGATATGTCGCACGTGCCCAACGCTGCTGCCGTGGCGTCCGCCACGGCGATCATACCGAAACAATTGAGCAGCGTGAGAGATGAAGAATTGCGGCTGGTGCGTGAATTGGTGGCAATGGTGCAGGCGGCCAAGCATACCACAGATATTCAGTATGAGCTTGCAGCTGAGGTCACCGATACCAGCCAACAAATGCATATGGTGAGCAGTTTTGAAAAGCAAGCTCCTCTCTTCACACCAACCACCACAATTACCTCGTTCTCATCAACCGCAGCCATAGCGCCACCGACGCTAGCTGTGCGCGGTACACCGCTAAGCACTTCTACACCCCAAAATACAAAACTAAGGAACCCGACGCTGCCCAACGTTGTGACAGTAAATAATCGTTCAATACAACCACAACCAGTTAGTACCGCAGCAACTGGCACGATCACAATTAATTCATCCACAGCGCTCTCGATGTCACCAGGCGTACAACGTCGCGTCGTACGTAAGTTGGTCAAGGTAAACGCGGATGGTCAGGTCACCTACAGTACAATGCCTGCCACAGCAACAAGTACGACTGAGGCAACACCGAATGGTGAGGTCTTACGCCGACGCATTTATCGTATTTTACCAAAACCTTCAATGTCCAACGAGCAAGGTTTACAACATGCGGTCACCACTAGTGGTGTTGGTACGTTCATTGTGCCGCGTACGACTGACGTAACAGCCAATATAGAGACGCCACGCATTAGAGTGGGCAATAATGCGCCACCAGGACTAACGACAACAGCATCATCAACGACAAATAAGCAAGACAAGAACAAGAGCTCGTCCATCACTGTTGCGGCCGGTGCGCGTCCTTTAATGCGTCGCTATTCGGTTTGCGGCGCCTTGCCAAATGCAGCAATTGAACGTCAAACAACCAACACCAATAAGTTTATAACTACCACTGCCAACACCAGAGAAGCTCAAACGGTGCCAAAGATCACCATTGCCAGTCGGAATTCACCACCAAAAATGTTTGCTAAAGACATTTTCAAATTACCGCCAACATCAACGCGCAGCATCAACACCTCTATTGTCACCACCGCAAATGCTAATGCTACAGTAACTGTTGTTGTAACCAATACGACAAATTCCCGAAGTACGCCCATAGTGAGCGTGAGTAATTCTTCTGCACGTACAGTGCCCTTGACTGTGGGTTTCAATAAGTTCTTCCGTGGTGATATTAATACCAAGGGAACGCCTACATCACAGCCTAATTCAGTTGCGCAAAACTCCAACGCGTCGCCGTCTCAAGTGTCCAACTCTCAAGGCATACAGACTTCGCAGCCCCGAATTTCAATCTCTTCTTCAACGCCTCGTGTCTCATACGCACACTACTCCAATAAGTCTCAATCGCGCGTTACAGTCTCTCAAAATCCAAACACATCTCGTGCTTCAAATTCGCAGAATTCTTCTACCACCCACTCTCAATGTCCAGTTATGCAGAGTTCTAGCATCTTACGCGGCGCTTCTTCAAGCGCTTCGGATAATAGCAGTCCCTCATCGCCACCGCCACCGCCAGCTTTTGTTGCTTGCAATCCGGTTAAGCGTACGTACGAGCGCTCGAGCGCTACCAATGCCGAAAAACGGCTGTGCTCGGATGTAGAAAAACGAAATACCGAAGAACCTATCGAGGAGGATATGTTGGGTTTGGGTATTATAGCGTCGGATGCTTTTGACGTATTGCATATCAAGGAAGAGCCGGAAGACCTTGATTTTGAATTCTAAAATTAATAAAAGGGACGTTTAAATTAAACATTTTATTCCCGAGAAGTGCACTTTCATTCAATATTTTTATATTATTCACCTTCATTGCTTGCTTTTATAATTTAATAACAATTATTAATCATTTATTCTTAGTTTTAAAAGAAACAGTGGAGATATTAAAATGAATTGTTTATTAATCTAATAAATATGGTGTTTGAATACATTTTTGGGTTCTTTGTTTATTTGAAAACCAGGTAAGTACAGAGTTATTTTGAGGTTAGCAATGAAATTCCGAGAGTTTAGGTTAAAATTCCGAGAAACAACTGTAAGCAGTTCTCTCTCACATTCGTTCCCTCTGCAGCCAAAGTAAACATCTCCAATACTCTCACAAATGGATCGGAGACTTAGAACTCGAAATGTGAACCGAAGTTCAGAAGTGTATAGAAAAAACGAGCTGGAAAGAGCTGTGAGAGTACACATTTGGCTTGTTAGACTTAGCAGACCATACCATCCCAGAGGTAGAGAGTTTCTTCCAGGTGAGCCTTGAGGGAAGATAGCGTAGCAATCTACAGTGAAAAAAATCGCCTCGAGTGTCTAAACCCAGCTAGCATCTCACACGTTGAAGTAGTAGGCATTAATAGGTCTGCAGACCTCTAAGGAACAACTACGGGAGCTTGTGTGTACTATAACCTCGCATAGTCAAACGATACTGTTAGCCTACGCGTTGTCAATTGTAAGTTTCGGCGTCGTAAGCAGAACAACTGGAGCTCGCTGGCTGGTTAATCGAGTTCTTTATAATTGTGATTCCCGTTGATGTGTTTGTTTGCGGCATCGTGAAAACCAACGGGTTGGTCCAGTCAGGAGCAGCTCTAGACGTATACCAAGTTCATGGAGAACAGCTCAGGAAAGAGCTACACTTACAATTCAAGGAAATAGCTTGGAACAATGATGAGATAACGAAACAGATTTGATTCAGAAATAATAGGCTAAGAGCTGTGCTTAGTTCAAGTAATTCTAGGAAGACTAAAAGTCTTTGAAGAGTATAAATATATAAACATTAAAGTGACTTTAGTCCTGGTAGAATGCATATTAAATGGGCCTAGAGCTGGGAACTATGAATGTCCAGTTCTTTTACAAGCTTCCACATGGAAAACTTGGTACCGAACCCGGAATGAGTCTGTACGCATGCAAGCATATTTGATGTAATTAGTTTGATTGAGTATACACAGTGGATCGGAATGATGCCTTGAGTGATAATTTGGTTCGGGATTGAAGTCTTTAGGGCAGCACTTTCATTTAGAAAAGGAGTGGCTTTAACAAGAATCCATTTTAAATATAGTAGTAACTTCTCAGTCTCTTCAGCACGGAACCCTTGAAACCAAAATGAACAATCCCAATTCCCAGAACGAGATGTACCTGATCAACTTCACGGTGTTCGAAATACCATCGGGTTGAAAACTCCTTAAACAAATGGAAGGTTTTGCGAGGAGACCCATAATGGCGTCGAAAATCATTGTCTTTATGATGAAAAGAGAGAGATGAAATAAAAGCCAATTAGACATAGAAAGAATACTAAAATATTACCTACTTGGCTTGAATTTCTGTTCTCAAAGAGCACCCAACTCGGGAAAGGCCATTATGTCCAAATAAAAGCTCAGATCTCATCTGATGTATTGTTGAAGGATTTTAAAGAATACTTCTGCTGGAACCAGTGCAACGTACCCATCTACTTGTTATTGCAGAGATAACGAGAATGCCTACAATAAAGACCACCCGAGCTCGAGCAATTAAGATAAAAATTAGCTCTGAACCAGCGTTAATAATTAACCGCCCAAAAGTCTACGCGTCTGGACATGAAAGCACGACAGCATACAAAATGCTATACCAGAACTCGTACTTAACCTATATAGCAATCGGGAAGAGCAAAACACCAGCCAGTTATAAACCACTTACTTCCACCCGAGTAAGGAAGTATAGGGTAAAGGCAAGGCTATAGTCAGAAGGCGGGGATTGGTACAGTGTTTTTCTCTAAATGCCTCAACAACGAAGGCAGCTTCAAAATCAAAGAGCACAATTTTGACGTCAAGAAGAGATTGTGAGAGAGTGGGCACCACTTTTGTAGGGAAATCCCTAATATTGTATATATACTCGTATAATGGGCGCTTTGTAACCGCTCAAACGATTTTCGGTCGGCGGAGTAGGCTCCCATTTATGATTTTACGTCTTACTAAGCCGCTTTCGAACGGCTGATGGTTTTTTTTTTTAATGGGGAGCCTTTATTTCATGTCTGAAATACACTCGGAGGGGTCGAAATTTCCTACCGAGGAGCGACCGCAATTAGAAAATTTAACTTAATTTTTTTATTTAAATTAATTTGCCACAACTTTTGGATGTTGGTGGCACCGGGATTTAAGTCCAGGCCTTTCGAATTGCAGTACACAATGCTAACCACTCAGCTACCGCGGCCTTAGACATTCAATAAAGGTCACGGGGGAAAACAGTAAGGACAGCCGAGGAGGCTCACACAGACGTCGCCAGTGAGGCTTTCACCATCCACTTCATTTTAGCGCCTTTAAATGTTGTCCATTATCCCGGAGCAATTCCAACATAAAGCGTGCAACTGAATTACATTGGTGCAGTGCAGAATCCAAAAGAACAAAACTTTTACTGGCACCAAGGAAAAGAGATCTTAGTATCTCTGTAGATGTATTGACCCAGCATTTACCACTGAGTTATTATCTTCGTAAGCTAAGGTAGAATCAGCGGAGTGCAAAATATTCACAGAGGAGGACGAACACTATCTTTGCGAGTTTCTGAGCGTCATACGATTGAAAAGTTATATCGTTAAAGATGCTTTCAGGTCCTACTTTATAGAGATCGCAACACATTGAAGGAAGAGTTAAACAAAAATCGTATCAAATCATGCGATACCACACTTGAGATAAGGAGGGTAGCTTTAGAAACTTACCAAAAACAATAATTTTACTCTCACCTACTCATCAATAAACCCATGGGTTCTCCTGGCCTAGATCAGAGTCTGACTGGGTGCTGGGTCATAAAGTCATCGAAAGCAATGAGAAGACGTACTAGACGTAATAATAGACCTACCAGTTTCTTTCAGAGGAGTGAAGAAAACGCAAGAACCAACTTGCTGCGTCAAGGTAATATACATTGGGAACGAGCTGCACAATCGCGAAAAATTTCTAAGAAATAAAATACTTAAAAAGTTTTTACTAACGGTAAAGAGGCGGAAACCTATGGTCTTTGTTGGCTGTAAGACCACCATCAGTCGGATGACAAAGGATTAAAACGCGCACTTAAATTTGTGAAAAGATCAGCAAAACTAGAGACACAATAAAGATGTAGCGTGCCTGCCAACACTATGGACGTATCGTCTAAGTGAGACGAGCTGGACCAACTATTTTGACCGAACCTGACCTTACGTGGATTTAAGTAATAAGGAAGAAAAAGGATGGAAGAGGAGTTCAGTTGAAGATAGTTCGATAGTTCACGGTAATTATGTATGGTTTGTGCAGAGCACACTCATATTCAATTCCTCCGACTGTATTCTGCAAAGAAGCTAATGCATGCACCTTGTGAAATCTTCATTAGCATGTTTGAACGACTGCCCGTAGGCCAACAGCTCCAGCTGTTCGTTAAACGGACAATCGATATTCAAATCCATCGTCATGGTCGAGTAATGGAATGTCTGTTCCAACATCATCGATTGGGGCTTTGAGCTCATCATCTTTGGGTGTTGGATACGTGGTCCCTTCATACAGCCAGTATGCTCTGAACTCTGTTGGACGCTAAAAGATCACCTCTATTCCTACTTGAGGCCGCTTAAATTGCTACACGTACCGAAGGCCCTCTTTGAAGCACTGTACAGTAAAGCAAAGTTTGCATGATTTCTTCAAATTTCAAATGAATATTGGAGAAAAAATACGTGCCGAGAAAATGCTAACTGCTTCTCTTATTACATTAAATATTTAAGAAAGAAAACGATATCAACCACAAGCCATGAGAACTTGGTTTGAAGCCGAATTCTGCAGAAACACAGTAATTTGGCTCCATTTACTTTTGACATTGTTCGAGAATTCCTTAAACTTTTAGTCAGAATTCAAAAATTTCGTATTAAATTTCCACTTGGTAGTCATGGCAACCAAACCAGTGCAGTGCTGCTAACAAAGTCTGAAACTTTCCATTGCTTTGTGCTGATTACAGAACTTTCTTTTACTAAAACCTATTTAAATATACAAATATTCTGTGTAATGTTTTTTTCCAACAAATTGTCTGTTGCTCCTATTAATTTTTTTTACTTATTTTTTTCTACGTCATTGCCAGTGCTTTCCAATAAGACTTTCGCATTCACCGCAATGTTTAACAAAAGTTATTGGGAAATAAGAAGAAGAGAAAAAAAAAGATAACAATATGGTCAGCAACATACAGGGTGCAAACTTCACTCACCCAAGTAACATCCGATACATCCCGTCTGTCATCCTCTCCAACCCTCACGCAGCTGTGACCATTGGCCATTAGCAGGCAGCAGGCAGGCGGGCAGGGATGCAGACAAGCTCAACAAGGATAAACTTTTATAATTGCCAAAGTAGCTAAATTGCTGCTTTTTCTAAACTTTCGACGTCGACTTGGAATAAAAACAACTCTTGGTTATCTTTTTACTGCTGTTGTGGATAAAAAGAGAGCAGAGGCAAAACTGCGGACTCTCCGCTGTTGGTTTAGCACTGTTGTCCTTTTCTCTTTTCTGTTTGCCTTATTTTGTTGGTTTAACTACTACCAACTATTGGTTTGGAAGTAAGTGAAATGATGTACAAAATGTAAATGTAAGCGGGAAGTAAAACAGATTTATTAAAAATTTATTAAAAAAAAAAGAGAAACCAAGCAAATGGTTGAAGGAAAAAGTTTTGCGCTTGTAATACGAGCAAAAAAATATGGAAATGAAAAAGTAGAAGGAGAAGTTTGGTATTGAATTTTAAGTAAATTATTGTTGAAATTATAATATAAAAAATTTCATTTACTACAGTGACTGCAGGTAACGGAGAAGGAAGAAATAATATTGATTCTGATACAACAAAATAAATAAAAAGATTTAAATAAAATAAAATAGGAATAACAAAAGATCAAATAAAATAATATAAAATAAACAAATAAATAAAAAAAATAAAGAACTAACGAAAAAAAAAAAAAATAAATTAATATAA